CCATGTTTCGGTTAAAAATATAACATTGAGATTATGCTCAGTAATGAAGTAATTAATACTAGCTGTTGCTGGCAATTGTATTTTCTTCAGATAGAGTCAGTAATCAACACTAAATTGGAGTCAAGGCACCAACTCTCCAGAAATAGCTAAGAATCAACACTATCTGATGTGAACCCATTTAGATTTCAAAATCTGACAGCTAATTTGGCTAGTTTTTGCAGTTTATGAGTGTCTTCACTCTAATGGTGGTATGCAGACTTATTATTATTATTCTTAAGCAAAATAGGCTGCCACAGTCAAAATCTTCAAAGACAATACAATAGATCATGCAAAAATCTGGGATCTGAGAGTCTAGGGTCTGCCCAAAGTTGTGAAGTTGTTCTACAATGTTGTATAACATTTCTTCACACTGCAGACAGTATGATCTTAATGAAACTTGGCACAGGCTCCACATCAACATCACCTAAACTCATTCACTGTTTGAATTTTATGTGGTGTCAGCGAGCCATGCTCATTGGTATCTCTTGAATGGCCTTATTCTGTCTCCATGCTTGCTCCACACTTAAAGAGGCCACTAAGCACCATCAATTACATCCTAAGAAAGCTATGGCCCCTACGTTATGTCCTAAAAAATACAAACCACATATCTTTTTTCATTCTCAGCCACTCACTGTATGGACAGATGGCTGAAAGCTTTAAAGAGGCTTAGTTACATCTACTGACTGTATTATGTAGGAAATAGCACATGATCAAGTTTATCTACCATAGGTTCACATTAGGATGGGACTATTTATTTCATACTATTTCATATTTTGGCTAAAACGAGGAAGTTGGAAATGCTTCCTATATTTTTAGCAGCTCTTGTTCCATAAATGGGTATCCTTCAATCTTTTTAATAATCGACTTCCACAAAAAATGTTTTTCCAAAAAACACACATTGCCCTTATAAACTATATTATATTGCGTGTATATGCAAACCATTTGTTAAGATCTGGTTCTGACTTTTACCTCCAGAGGTCACATAAATAGTTTCCCTAAAATCAGTTGTCTAAAGAAAAAGTCTGCTGCAAATAGCTCTCGTCAAAGGCTGAGGAGACTTTTCTAGAGGATTACAGAGGGTTGTAAAGGTCCAGAAGATATCTAATGCTTTCAATTCCCAACTTCAACCCACTATTAATAAATAGAAAAAAAACATAAGAACAGTCAAAGACCAGTCTAGAAGGACATAATTCATAGCTATTATAAGAAACCAATGTAGCTTTAAAGAAACAGTCCAGCTTCAAAGGAGAGACTCCACAAAGAAATGATTGTAACCTTATTATCTTTAGCTGTGACTGAAAGTTGTCTTTCCTCCACCAAAATAACTTTGTAGATATATCTCCTATCTCTTTTGTGAAGCATTTGGGTTGTGGTCTTTATATGTAGTGGGGAGGTTTTTTATGAGCATTTCATGGGAAGTGGAGAACTAATACTAAAAATATACAAAACTTCCACAGAAGCAGCTTTTTTCCACTTTAGTTCAGTTATTACAGAGAGCTGTAATGTTTGCATACACATTGAAATATTGTGCTTTTAACGTGGCACATCTAAAATGTGCACTGCAAATGAGTTATATAAGATGGCTCTAGACATGATATAGCCATTTTCTTTCAATTTCAACCTATTAGTTAATACTCTTAGGAAACTAAAATAGGAGAAATATGTGGAAAAAAAAACTCAGACAGACAAAAATGTATCTGCAAGAAGGCAACATACACTGATAAAACAAATTTACTGTAAAATGAGAATAAATTATATTAATACATGGCTCTATGGAAAAACAGGGAACACCAAGGAAAAAGAGAATCTATACATATGCATACATTCATAAATACATACATTTATACATTTTCATGTGCACATTGATTTTTGCAGTGACAGTTGTTTAATCAACCTTTCACCTACACAGAACAAGAGCTAATCACATCAGAAGAGATGGAGCCAAAAGAAATGAACCTTTTTTTAGAACTAATCTCTTATTTCATTGTATTGCAACACTTTGTGTTATACCTTAACATTATGTATTGTGGTAATAGTCATAAAACCAGCAGCACCTAATAAAATTTTACTGTTGTCTTGTTCTGCAGCCTGTGCTCTCAAGAGACACTGCCAGTGACCTTTCAGGCCTGCGTGATTCCCAGGGACTGTGATGTGACTGAGTGGTCTGAATGGTCAGCTTGTTCCAAGCAGTGTTATGACCCCAACGAGGCAAAAGGGGAGCGCACTCGCAGCAGGAAAGTGAGTCAATTCCCAATCGGTGGAGGAGTGGAGTGCCCAGAACTTGAAGAAAAAGAGCCATGCAGCCCCCAGGAAAGAGTAGTTCCACCATGCACTTTGTGAGTAAACACAGTTGGGTTGTATGAAAACCAAACGGGAGACAGTGTTGGATTAAATAATTACATCTGGTGTTTTAAATAAAAAGGAAATATCTCATCATGAAAAAAATGGTTTCCTTATAAAGATATATTTCATTGGGAGAAAATGTGATAAGGGTGCAAATACCAGTGATACTTGTCTTCCATTTAGTTTAACTGTTCAGTATCTGACTAGTTAAACTGTTCAGTATCAGACTAGTTAAACATAGTTTGAGCTTCTTTAGAACTTTCAGGGGCTTCACATGTTGACAGGCCATGATGGTGCATTTAAGCAGTGTTTATTAAAGATAATGTTGCTAAATGTGCAATAAAATACTCATGTCTCATTGTTATCAGTTCATTGTGATCTTACTTAACAGCTCCTAAAGGCTGTTTTACTATGTATTCATTTTATTCAGTTATAACATCTGACTAAAACACCAGTATGGTTGTTTTAGAACTTCGCATGGTTCTTAAAAAACAGAGAACTTGACAGCAGTTTTCATTCAGATCTTTACTAGTAAAAACAAAAACAGGTGGAATGTATTTGAGGAGTTTGTTTTTGTTGTGCTTTTGGGAAATGGTTTATTTAGACGGAAAGTCATGGCAGGTAATATGTATCTGTCTCAAGCAACATGGTAATCTTCTCCCCCAGAATCAAACCACTCAGCTTCTGTTCAGATTGTTGGTAGCATCACTGAGACAATTAACAATAATGCCTACCTACCATCAGCTATATACATTAGCGCAAAGAGTAAGGAAATTTGTGTTTGAATGATTATTTCTTTGCTGTAAGATTGCTTCTTGCATTATTCATTTAGGAAACATGGGCCTCAGTAGTGCGTGGGAGAAGCGTACACAACTACAACTGTGTGGCACCTCCTCCTCGTGTTGGTCACCAGTTTGGTGTAGGATGGCATCCTGTTTATCAATCCACATCCATCACCAGTCAGCCAGTGTGAATGTGTTGGTCACTATGGCACAAATAACTGATCCCACAACAATTATTTGCAGTTTAAGTCAGGACTGCAGGGAGTTTAATCTGTAAGAGTCAAGATATGGGATTGTCGGAGGTTGCATTATCTCATCTTCTTATATGTCTGCCCTGAGGTTCCCTACAATGATAGCAAACCTTGTTGTTCCAGAAAGGTAGATCCTGCCCCACGGTATCTAAAACCCATATCAAACACTGTTTGACAGTGGCATAGAGGATCAGGCAAGCTTTTAATGGGTGTAACCTACATAATCTGCTGCTCAACCCGTAAATGCATTTTCCCAAACGTGACTCCATTTAGAGGGAATTAATATGATTTACTGCGAATAATGTTCTTTTTTGTAACTACAGTACATTGTTCAAACAAAAAAAAACGGACAAAACACAAAGTTACTTACTTTTAGTATTAAGAGTAGCATTAGTGTATCCATGTATCTGTTGATACTTAATAGTATGACCATGTACACACCATGACCATGTCAATAATTTCCTGTTAGATTGTCCATGTGGGGATTTTGGATGATTACTTGGCTGTGCATCAGTGGGGAACAGTGCTCGACTGACAAACAGGTGGTTGTGACTCTAATTCCATCCTCCCAGGCTCTGCCACATGTAAAAGTTTTTTTATGCAACACATTGAATCCCAAGTGTCCTACTGATACTGTGTATATGTTGTAAGGATGTGTGTGCACAAATAGGTAAATTTGACTTGGAGTGTAAAAGTGCTTTAAATGGATGGTAAAACTCAAAACTTTTTATCTTTGTATTGAGTTTTTTTTTCAGATAAAATCAAAAGTTGGGAATTTAATGTATTTTCTCCTCAGTGAGCCTATTTTCTAATGACATTTGGTTATGGTTGAACCAAATGTTCATTACAAGCTCCATCATGGCCTGTCCACACGTGTAGCCACCAAAACTCCGCAGAAGGCAAATAAGGATTAATAAATCCAAAACACAGAAATATTGAAGGGATTTTCTATCAGTAGCAAAAAACCATGTACACTCTAAAAAAAGCTATCATTTCAGGAGAACATTTTAAATAAACATGGCTTCAGAAATAAATTGTTGAAGCAAGGGTTGTTTTTTTCTATAAGACTGTTTCATATATATGCCATGCCATATACATTTTTTACCGTTTATATTAGTAAAATATCCATGAAATAGTGTGTGAAACTTCATATTTGTAGTGCTTTCTATAGGTATCAATCATATATGGGGATACTGATCAGCAAAATTCATTGTTTAAAGACAGCCTTTAAAAATTGACCAATGACATTAACACATCTGTTTGCAGGTATGGGAAGGCTATTACAGTACTTTGCATGGATTTATCCTCCCTGCACTGTGACCTTTCATAAAAACTTCAGAATACAACAGAGGATGGAGTAAACATTTACTAGATGAGATGTTTTTAGTGAAATATTCACATTGCACTGAGGTGGCCCTTTGGTTGCAGAAAACCACTTTAGGTCTTAATTGTTTTTTTTAATCAGGTTAAGAAGCAGCTGAAGTACCGGCTCAGGTTCAGCACTGAGAATAATGAAAATACTACTGAGAAAAATAAAAAGTGAGCCAATAACATATGAAGCTAAAACAAAACTGTGACGTTTAAGGCGACTGTGGCTCAGTGGGAAGAGTAGTCGTCTTGCAATCAGAAGGTTGTGGGTTCAAGTTGCCTACCGATCTGCGCATCGGTGTATAAATGTGTGAGCGTTAGTGAGTGCGATTGGGTGAATGTGGCTCTAGTGTAAAGCTAGTTCTGTATGACTGGAAAAGCGCTATATAAGTTCAGTCCATTTACATTCCTAAAAGCTCTGTCAGTTTCCGAGGGTGTTTAGTGTTTTATTCAAATCTGTTGGAAATCAGTTTAACAAGAACAGAAAGTAAAAGTTAAAGAGCAGTTTATGTTGCTCATTTTGCTTTTGTGTGTGTAGCTTATCTGGCAGAGAATAGTTCATATAAAGCTGTAATGTGTTTCATTCCAGCCTCTCGTTTCTACTCCCACCATCACAAAAACGCTTGAATGACTAAGCTGTTTCTGGGTGTTCCACTTTTACGACAGGGCATGTTTTGTGTCAACATAATGCAACAAATTATGGCTGGATACGCCCCCTTCATTTGCTTATTATCGTTTCAAAGGGCATGATGGATTTCCTAAAAGGATTGTTAGGCATGATGTCTTTTGAAAAGTTTGGGGACAATGGTCAGAAAGTAAATGAAGAGAACTTTGAGGAAAGATGTTACATGTTTCAGTTTATTAAGGCAACAACAAATCTCCACTTCTATTTGAGGAGGATTGGAAGAAGATACTGAGACTCAGAAGCCTTTACACGAAGCCTTGGTAAAGCTACATTTTAGTTTGAACATTGTACATCACACAATAAAACAGCAATCCAACAATAATGTGCACCATCAATAATGCGTCTGATTCTGCCAACTGGAAACTTTGGTAGTTAGAGAGTTAGCGTGCATTGAACATTTAGTAACAGAGCTAATAAACATTGCCTTAAATGCTGGAGCAGCACTAACATGAGCAATGTAGGCATCAGGGAATTAGACTAGATCTGTGTTGACACAGCACATTTTAACAAAATAATGTCACATTCATAGAATTTGCTCATCGTAGTGAAATACAACTACTACACAATACCAGAGCTAACTGGTCTCAAATGAAGTGGGGCTTGGGGGAGAAATTGTGTTCATCTTTGCCAAAGCGCTATCTGTGAGCAATGCCATCTAAAATATACGTTTAGGGATCATAAACGAGCCCGATCTGCCGAGCTCATTGTCATTCAACACTTCACAGTGTCCAGGCACACAGAGCAACACAATGCTAACAGTGGCTCAACAAAGAGTTGCTAGGGCCAATCGTATTAAATGTGGATTCAGTATTAATTAAACAAGCAGAAAAGCTTGTTTTAATACATTTAAGTAATATCTTTTTAGTAAAAAACTAAAAGCTACATGTTTATATTCATATTGTATCTTTTTTTTTACAAACACGGGTTCAGGCTCTTGTTGAGAACACTTTGAAGGGACTCTGGATCAAACTAGAACCTTATCCTAGGAGAACTCTCCACAAGCTGAGTCCTCGGCCATAAAAATGCATATTTAGAAGTTTCCTTCTAAATTAAATAAAATCCCTTAATGGCTCAAGTTAAGCCAAAGCCCTTGTCTCCTTAAGTATGCACTGATCATCACTTACCTGGTTGCAGCTGCTGACCCTGGTTCAGCCTCTTTAGAACTGACTTCTTTCACATACAGTTAAGCCCAAAATGATATCCTCCCCTGGTAGATTTATGTGTAAATTAAACTTTGAACCAGTGACTTCTAACTGGAAGCAACAATAACGTTTTGGAGCGCCCCAACCAGGGTGCAAACTTAAACCTGGGAATCTCTGGAGGGAACTACATATTAAGGTGATTGCAAGTAGGTCTTCCAACTAAGTTTCCAACTTCCAAACCAAAGACTTGGAGATAATCGCCAAAGATAAATTTTTAAAATACCAGTGGAAACATGCAAAAAGTTGGTCAGCTTGAAATGATAAAAAGGTAAATGGCCTGTACTTGTATATTATCAAGTCCCCAAAGACCCTAAAGTGCTTTACACTACAATCAGTCATCCACCCATTCATACACACATTCACACACTGAAAGGTGCCCACTGATTATTACCAAGGTATGAATATTTTTCACCATGCCATTTTTTTTAAAATCTAAATAAAAAACAGATGAATTTGTTGTTTTGTGAAGTCATACATCTTGTACATTGTGTTGTCATTGGTAGATGCCTGTCTGAATTCCTATAAGAAACAAAGTTCTTGGATGAACAAAAATATTTTTAAATCTAAATCTGCCAGGGATAAAATATTTTTTGGGCTTAAATCATAAAACATGATTGTTCTTGTAATTACTGTTTTGTATTTGGTCATATGAAGCTTAAGTTATTGTCCTCTCAGTCTGACTCTTCATCTGCCTACATGTGTCATCAGCTACAACTGGAGGACCACAGAGTGGACAGAGTGTAGGGTGGACCTTCTGCTAAGCCAGCAGGACCGTCGGCGTGGAAACCTGACAGGCTTGTGCGGAGGTGGAATCCAGACACGCGAGGTCTATTGTGTGCAGGCCACTGTGGATACTCCGCCCAATCTCAGTTCGCTAAGAAGTAGAGAAGGTAACTACCCCACTTGGTTTGGTTTCTATAGTCCTTAACATACTAAACTCAGTTGATTATGCTGTGTGTTATTCAGCATTAGGGACACTTAACATAAATCTAAACAGTTTAGATACAGTGCCTTGCAAATGGATTATTACTCTTAGAACATTTTTACATTTGGTTCTTTAGGAGCGGGTGTTCTGATCACTGAGTTAAAACAATCAAACAGAACTCAGAAATATTCTCTCTCAAACAGCCCTCACAGGAGGGAACTTTTATTCTTCAAAAAGCGCACAGAATCATCTTCATCAAAATTCCAGAAGTCACCCTGCCCTCAGTTCCTACAGGGCGGTTTTTATACAGATACTCAACATTGGTGTGTATTGGGTCCTGTTGACCAATTGAAATCATTCATTTACGTAGTACATCTTGGCATCTAGAACATTGTTTTTCTCTACTTTTTCCCAGGAATACACATCTGGAATAAATCAGATTGGCCTTCGTGAGTTCATAATAAATTTCTCATGACTTATCTGGATGCTGAATTCCAATGTCACAGTGACCTGGCTGCAGTCATGAGATTTCCTGGCTGAACTGCACTTACAAGCCCATTAGTCTTTTCCTCTCGCCAAGAAGTTTCCCTAATGTAATCTGTTTTCCCAAACAGACAGCTTTGCATGTCTCCACTCAGAGTGAACTTATTATACTCATTTTATTATGGTAAAAACAATAATAGCACTTTAAGCTTTAAGCCTCAACATTTCACATTACAATCACAAAATTTTATGTATTTTCAGGGATTTTTTTCTGTAATGGAGTAAAGTAAAAGTAAAAGGAAAATTATACATCATTTTCAACATTTTAGACAGATAAAAATTTGAAAAGAGTAGCATGCACTTGTATTCAGCCTCCTTTACTCCTGTCCCCTTAAATAAAACCCAGTGCAGCCAGTTGTCTTCAAAAGTCAACTAATTGATAAATGGAGTCCACCCATGGTTAATGTAATATTTGTTTAAAGTTTGTCACAAGTCCTGTAGGAGACACTGCTAACTTTCACTTACATGCAAAACACTTTGTGACAGAAACTAACACTACCCACCAGCCTGAAAACACAGTTCACACCATGAAACATGATGGTTGCAGCATTATGCCGTGACAGTGGCTTTTTTTTTTAGCAGGGACATGGAAGCTGGTCAGAGTTGATGGAGTTAATTACAGGATAACCTTGAAAGAAAACCTGTTAAAAGCTGCCAAAGACTTGAGACTGTGGTGGGGGTTCATGGTCCAGTAGGACTGCGATCGTAAATGTACAGCGAAGCATACAATGGAATGATTTAGATCTTTGAGAATGGCCTAGTTAAGATCCACAATCTTATTGTGTTTGAAAATCTGTTCCAAGACATGGTATTTAAATACTTTTCCAAAGCACTGTACTCTGGTGTACTATTGAAAGGATGCCAGTGTTTTAGAGAACAAAAAGAACAGGACTCTACAACTGTATATTTGAACAAGAAAATAGAGTAGTAAAGGCCCTGCTTAAAAATAATTGAAAAGAAACTAATTAGAAACTAACTAAAACCGGCTTCAGAGTACATGTGTAAGATGAAGAGAAAGTGGTCTAGGAACAATGCATCATCTGTTTAGACACATGTAAGACAGAGGGGTTTGAGATACCTTACTCATCACCATTTATTTGCTTTTAGGTAACATGAATGTGCTTCTGCAATGCAGATAAGAGAGCGGTGAAATGTATTTCCCAGTAATTCAATGGTTGTACTGAACACACAGGGCTGAAAGTGGCCTGGTAGCTTGCCCATTTTTATCCAGCATTGACACAGTAAGTATTTGTCCATCTGGCTGGTGAAACTGGCATCTGTTGCTAAGCTTATTCAGATCTTATGCTCACAACCAGTGGCTTGTTTTCATCGTTGCATGCCCAAAATCCACAGTTCCAATTTAGTTAACAGAGGTGGGCACTTTCTGGGATTTTATTTCTCACTGCTGCCCAAGTCGGCATACCATAAAAAGACATTATTTGTTTTGGTAGTCATGGAAATTGGTTTTAGTTAGAGACAAGAAGATATTAATGTAGGGACTGTAGTACGTAAAAAAATCAGTGGATTCTGCTTGAGGCTGTAGCCAAAAAGAAAATGTGTCAAAGGGAGATATACACGAAGGAGGAGGAGTAGAGTGTGTAGGTGGTATGAAAGTGCCTCTGCCAGCTGTAGTGCACACATGCATCTTCCTCTCTTCAGTCTGTCTTTTTTCCCCTTACACTGTTGTGACTATGAATATGAATATAATATTTATTTAAGGTGTACCCCGCCTCTCACCCGTAGACTGCTGGAGACAGGCACCAGCTTCCCCGCGACCCACTATGGAAGAAGCGGTATAGAAAATGACTGACTGACTGAACTTAAAAAAAACAACACAGAACACATCCTTACTTGAGTGCTAGTCTGCTAGCACTTACTGTAGCTGAGTTTCTCAACACAAACAAAAACAAACGTCATTAAACAAACATTATTTAGCTTAA